CAAATTTTGAACATAAAAATGAGTGACAGCTGAAGTTTGGTAGGCTTCCAGGAGTTCTGAAGTGACTGCCTAGAATGAGGTACCTTCTCTATGGGACCGAGACTTCCGCCAGAAGAGGAAGATGCTTGCCTTCTACACACACACACACACACACACACACACACGACCAATTTAGAGAGGTTATCTGCTTTCTTGGACTCTCCTGGTAGTGTATACTAAAAACTATAAAATTATCAGATACCTTATTTATTTATTTTTATTGATTTCAGAGAGGAAGAGAGAGGGAGAGAGAGATAGAAACATCAGTGATGAGAATCATTGATGGGCTGCCTCCTGCACACCCCACACTGGGGATGGAGCCCGCAACCTGATTATGTGCTCTGACCGGGAATCAAACCGTGACCTCCTGGTTCATAGGTCAATGCTCAACCACTGAGCCACACCGCCCGGGCATAAAATTATCAGATACCTTTGATAACACTTTGACCTCTTGAATATCCAGATAAAGAATCCTTTTTCAAATTCCTACCATTTTTGCACTCAGATCTATGATGGCGGCCCGAAGTCATCTTTGTTATAGAAAAGTAAATCTTTTAACAGAAATCCAGACTTTGATTGTTCAAAGAGGTTCATAATCAATATAGAAATTGTTCCATCAAGAAGCATAAACATTAAACTTTGAAATAAGTTTGCTAAGTATTCTTCCATATCTACACACTCAAAGCAACAGTTAGTGAAGTAATAGTACCTGCCCTACTAAGATTGGTAAAAGGAATTTCTTAGCAAGAGCTGCACATATTTTTTTGTTGCTAAGGAGACTGTAACAAAGGAAGATGAAACCGAACGAGTTATTATCATGATTAACTTTTCCATGTCAGGAACGCCTGGGCGATATATGAAGTGAAGCCCTCAGTTGAATCTCAGCCACCACTGACAATCCCAGGCTGGCTGTTTCCTGCTGATCCCATAAGGAACCGTCATTCTCTTTCAACTGAGAGTGTCTGGTTTGTAGGTTTGCCCTTTTTTTTTAAACATATTCTTCTTCTGCAGTGGATTTTATGAGTTATCACTGTCTTGGCAGTCAAAGAATTTTAACTCATATCCCTAAAAACATTGTTGTATATAGTTTGAATGAACATTTCCTTATGTGCTTATAAGAAAATGTAAGCAAATAACTTTAGTAATGATTATTTTTTCTTTGAGCAAAATATTTGCTAAAGCAAGTCCAGGCCATCACTTAAGAAATATCATGCCTAAGTCAACATAAGGCCCACACAGTCACACGAAGAAAACAAACGACACCAACATCAACCACCAAACACCAAGATTTTAAAATACTAGACACATGTGCCAATTAGAAGTATCCGAGAATTTTCCACTGTCCATCTGAGCGCATTTTCTTTTCACTTTTGTCAAATAGAACCCCTAATTCCAACAGAAGGTGGGCCAGCTGTGATCTAGGATCCACAATAAACCCTACTAAACATGCTTGAAGGACTCTCACCACTCAATAAGATAAAAAAAAACAACAACCAAAAAATGACCAAAGAATTTGACTAGACATTGAAAAAAAGTACAAGTGGCCAATAAGCACATGAAGAGATGCTCTCAACAACATCAGCCATTAGTGACATGCCAACCACAATGAGAGTTAACTTCATACCCACTAGAATGGCTACAGTCAAAAAGACTGATAGCAAGTGTTGGTGAGGATGTGGCGAAATGAGAGCCATTATATACTGCTGGTGAGAATGCCAAATGGTGCGGCTGCTTTGGAAAATAATCTGACAGTTCCTCAAAGGGTCCAACATGTGTTCAATGTCAACCGAATACTACATGACCCAGCAATTCCTCTCCTAGGTCTATACCCAAGAGAAATGAAAGCATATGTTCATGCAGAAACTTGTATACTCATGAATGCTCATGGCAGCATTATTTATAATAGCAAAAAGTGGCAACAACCCAAATGTCCATCAACCAATGAATAAATAAAATATGGTCTATCCATACAATGGAATATTGTTTAGCCATAAAAAGGAATGAAGTACTACATGTTACAACATGGATGGACTTGAACAACATTATGATACATGAAAGAAGCCAGACAGAACACCACATACTGTATGATTCCATTTATATAAAATGTCCAGAATAAGCAAATCCATGGGTCTATGGAGACAGAGAGTAGGCTAGTGGTTGCCTAGGCTGAGGGGGTTGGGGGGTGGGAGGAATGGAGCCCGATTGCTAACAGGTACGGGGTCTTTTGGGGGGTGGTAAAATGGTCTACAATTAATTGTGGGGATGGCTGCACAACTCTGAATATATTAAAACCATCGGATTTTACTCTTTAAATGGGTGAACTGAATGATATGTAAGTTACATCTCAATGAAATGTTTCATATGAATCACCACAGTCTTTCCAACCTTTCCAGTTGCTGACATGGACAGAGGAAGCAGATGGACCAGGCTGCGGGACTGGTCCCAGCTCCGTAGCTCGGACAAAGGTGGGTAGCAGGGACTCTGTCAGCAGAAACGCTGTCTGTTCAGAGCAGCCCTGGGAACTCAGGCTGTGAGAATCCAGCTCTAGGAGGAACGCATGCTATGGAATTAGAAGTCTTAACAGGCAAATAGGAAGGCAATTAGATATAAATAGAACTACGCCTATAAAAATAAAAGCTATTAAGTATTCACAGCCAGACACTATGTTCTGTTATACACATATTCTCCCAGTAGTCCGAAGTGCCCTAATGAAATGGGTATTGTTATGTACATTTTATAGATAAGCAATCTGAAAATAAGTCATGAGAATTACCAAGCGAAAGCCAGTTCATAAGTGGTCAGGGTGGGGTTTGACCTGCATCTGTCTGACTTTTAGGTCTTAATTACTATGCAATAGACTTATTTAAGATATTTGCATTTTAACATAATCTTTCTATTTGTACCTCCTGTTATGCCATATTTCTCTCATTCATCTATCTATCTCTATTTCTATCTCTACATCTACATCTGTATCTAGCCCAGCCATGGGCAAACTACGGCCCGCGGGCCGGATCCGGCCTGTTTGAAATGAATAAAACTAAAAAAAGAAAAAAAGACCTTACCCTTTTATGTAATGATGTTTACTTTGAATTTATATTAGTTCACACAAACACTCCATCCATGCTCTTGTTCCGGCCCTCCGGTCCAGTTTAAGAACCCATTGTGGCCCTCGAGTCAAAAAGATTGCCCACCCCTGATCTAGCCTCATCCATATCTATATTTCCTAGCTTTTCTTTGCAGTGCCTACGTACAAACCTCATTCTAGAGTGAACACTTGTGAAAACCTTATGACAGGGAGACTACAGGAATTGCCACTGACAGTAGTGGTACAGTTGTCATAGTAACCAATCCACCAAATTGGTCTGTGCTCTGAGGCACACACTTCTGCCTCTATAATACACCAATATTGGCTGGGATCCCTCATAGTATCACTGAACCCTTGTTAATGCATATGAGATAGAAAGTGCTGAGGGCCTACTGTGCATCTTTAAAGCATTACATTTTCCCTTCAAAGTTTCCCTCTCTGACTCACAGGTTATACATCCCCTCTCCTTCCCCTTTTCCTTTGCCCATGATGTTCTGGTGGGGTCAGTGGAAGGGGTGCTGAAAACCAGGACCAGACCGTGGTCTGCTGCTTTGTTCTAAGCAGGAGTTATAAATGTGACTATTTTCTCTTTGGGCAGAAAATTGCTCTTCCAAACCCAATGATTCCTTACTCAATGCCAGAACATAAAATTGACTGTCCCATCCCCATCTTCACATACAAAATAGACCTTTATCTGATAAAAAAACAAAAATAAAAAACACACATCTCAGAAGTCACTGGACAGAAAATTTAAAGCTGGAACCCAATACTATGCATGCTGACTGCATGCATACATACACACACACGCACACACACACACACACCCCTATCCACATGTTCCAACAATGCCTTTCCATAAGGACTCTTCCTTCTTTCATTCTCTCACCCTGGCGCTTTCTCCCTTCCTCCTCTTCTCCATCTCACTGGCCTGGCCTGTCTCAGAGGCACCTGGAGGCACATAAGGCGGGGAAGTGAAACCGCCTGTAATTCTCCAGTTCACTTCTCTGTGGCCTCCAGTGAGCCAGTCTCCATACGGTGGCCCAGCTGAGCTGGAAGTTCCAGTCCCCGCGCAGGTGCAATGGACCAGCCCTTGCAGGCAGGCGGCGCGCTGGGAGCCCAGAGCCAGGCCCAGGAGTGTGGGAGGGCGGCTCTGGGAGCAGCAGAAAGGGAGGCCTCTGAGCTCGAGTTCATGGGATGAAACGGAGGAGGGAAAGCAAGCCCTGGAAGACTTCTGCCTAAAAAGGCCACCGTTTCCCCTTAAGGAATGAACACTGCAGAGGGCAAGCAGAAATGCTGGTTTCCCCACTTCCTTCTGATGCCCTTGCGTTCACCTTCGGGGTCCCTTGACCTCATTCTCCTTGTGTTAAAAGTCCCCGCCGAATTAATTCTGTGCCGTCCGTGGGGCCACAGACATGTCGGAGAGTTCTCCTGCTGGGCAAGCATGTATCCAGGTACATTCTGCTTAACGTATCTCCTAGCTCCGATAATCACTGAATTTCAAAGAGCATTTCCTGTTTATATAGCTTTTTTCCTCATCTCCGCTGATTGTTCCCAAGAAGCCGGCTTGTATAACTATACTTATCAACCCATTTTGCTGATGTGGGACTCCGCTCCAGTGCAGGTAGAACAGACCTGTAGGGTTATGGTTTCGAAGGCAGCAGTGTTCCCACCACAGTGCTGCTTGTTTTCTCAGTTCAGGTAGGACACATGCGGGGTTGCACTGCGGAATTCACCCCTGGCTTAGCTAATCCTGAGCGGAGCCTACAGCTTCCTCCCTGATCCGGACCACACTGCCTCGCAATCTCTAGCCACAGCCACCTTCTCTCGGTTCCTGGAAGGCACCGAACTCTCTTCTGCTAGAGCAGTGGTTCTCAACCTTCTGGCCCTTTAAATACAGTTCCCCATGTTGTGACCCAACCATAAAATTATTTTCGTTGCTACTTCATAACTGTAATGTTGCTACTGTTATGAATCGTAATGTAAATATCTGATATGCAGGATGGTCTTAGGCGACCCCTGTGAAAGGGTCGTTCAACCGCCAAAGGGGTCGCGACCCACAGGTTGAGAACCGCTGTGCTAGATGCTCAGGCAGGTGCTGGCCCCTCAGCAATGCTTTTGGTCTTCCCTCGGCGCCCCCGCCTGGCGATGGAATCTTCCAAGGCTCATCTTAGCCTCTTCCGTAGACAATGTCTTCTTGGGCCACTGGGACGCGGTTGCAGCCCTGATCCCCGGCCTCCCAGCACAGGGCACCTGTGTAATTATTTCCTCTTTTTCCTTATACTGTAAACTACATGAAGTCAGGAACCCGTCTGTCTTATTCCACTCTGTATCTCACAACCTAGCACAAAGCTTGGAGCATGACATCTGCTCAGTACAAAGCTGGGGGCTATTCCATAGCAGAACTTGCTGTCAGTGGTAAATGCAATGCATCCGTGGGTGTGGCAGGGTCATGGGCACGGGGTCCAGAAAAGCTGCCCCAGGTGGCGGAGGGGCGGCCCCTTGCTTCTCAGTCTGCTGTCAGTTCCAGTTCCACTGGCAATTCAGATTGTTGCAAAGAACGCAGTAATATTTCCTCTCCTCCGTTGGCACAACAGGCTGTGCCCTTTGAACCCTGACACTTCTGAAAATCCTGCATTTAGCACAACAGCAAAGAGCTTTTTATTACACATCTTGATGGACCTAGATTACAGATATATAATTATCGAACTGAATCCGATTATAGGAGTAAAGTTACCACAATTGACCTTTATTCTTTTGAAAAAACTTATTTTTTTTTTCTTGAGGACTGAATTTTTTGCTTTTTAATGGAACTCCATGCTTAACTCTGTAAATTATATAAGTTGGGTGTGCAGTGATTTAAATGCTTCTGAATTTGTAATTATTTGTCCAACAAATATTGAACAGCTGCTCTCCGCGTTCTAGAATTTCCTTGCCCATCCTTCTCTGCTGCTAGTTTTTTTTCTCTGTCTTTTTCAGATGGCTTATCTCTCTCTCTCTCCTTTTTTTTAATGATGTTAATTTACTTTTTAAAGACTTTATTTTTTTAGAGCAGTTTTAGATTCACAGCAAAACTGAGAGGACGGCACAGAGACTTCCCTATACCCCCTGCTCCCACCCATGCATCACCTCAACACACCCCGGGAGTGGGGCTTTTGCTACAATTGATGAATCCACATTGACACATCTCTTCATCATTTCTTTGATTTCCCATATTTTCTTGCATTTTCCTTACTCCTTGTTTTTCTTCCCCTTCACTTCCCTGTGATTTATGTTCTTTCTTCGCATCATAAGTAGTTGCTATTTTCATTGTTCTTACTATTGTAGGCTTAGTCTAGTACCTTTCTGCTTTTCATGTTGCAAATGGTTCTAAACCTATGTTCACTAATATTAATTGTGAATATGTAAGCCCTTCTGATGTTTACAGTAAAACGGACATACTCACTGTATCATCCGTTACAACTGAGAGTCCTTTCCGCGGTTAACTCACGCTCCCACCCATTTCATAACGTGTTTGTTGTTTTTGTTTGTTTGTTTGTTGGCTTTAAAAGCACTCAGCAGTACTAATTCATGCCTCATGAACCATCTTGGAAGTGAATGGGAAGGACATTGCAATACATATATTTTCTGAAATTCTAAATGAACAACAGAAGGCATAAACATTTATGGCACAACAATTGTTCAAATGATTTTCTTGAAACAAAACATAAACAGAATAAATTTCCAATTAGAAGGGTCTTGCTTTGTGTTATTAAAATATACAGGTGTTTTGGTCCTTCTGGCTGCTACCTGTTGTATTCATCACCTGTACGGATCACTCACATGCTTAGCTCTCCATAGTCCCCATGGAAACAAGGCTGATGTCACTGGTACTTCAGGGCACAGAAGTCTGGGGGCAGGGGCTTCTGGGTTCAAATCCAAGCATTAGGGCTTTGTTTTAGTTTGTTTTGCTTCCACAGCCATTTTTGCATGGTTAAACGAAAAGTTCTTATTTTCATAGATGTATGTAAAATAAGTTGGCCCACCCTGTTTTTCAGTAAGTCCCTGTCATAGGGACAAATCTCAGCAACCCCATAATTTAGCCCCTTCACCTTGGAACTGATGGCTAAGCATGGTGGGCCAGTGGGGAAGAAGCCGGGTTCTTCTCTCACACTAAACTGAGCTAGACCCTAAATGCTGACCTCAGTTGTGCTTAAGACAAACGCCGTTTCATCTGGAACTCATATTTTTGGATCAAGGTCAGATAATGAGTTAAGTGCTTTGATTACAAATATTCAGAGAAGCGGGACATACAGGTTGGTATTTAGAAAAATAATTGTTCACATGCTCACTTATATGCCTAGATGAGTTGGCTGAATATATGCATGTCAATCTCAGGAAGCAGTGGGTTAAATGTCCCTGAATTTCCAACTAGAAGTTATTAAAATACCATAGAAATACCATGTAACCCTCTTCTGAATACTGACCAATCTATGGTAGTTGGTTCAATATCTAAGCATCTATGTTTGAAAAAATTGAGCACCTCAGTCACTGTTTTAATTAATTACTATTTACCTCCCTGGAATCACTATTGAAATTCTTAAGCCTTCCTATGGGAAGTTGAAATTTTAACTTAGCATGGTAGATTTATGTAGACTGGAATTACCTCCGAGTGGAAGGACAAAGACCAATGGGACTCTTCCCACTAGAATGAGGACAAAATTTTGTGTCCATTTTGTTCAGTGATGGCTCCCAAGTGCCCAGAACGGGGGTTGGCCAACTGTGACTCACAGAAAAACTCCAGCCTACCTCCTGTTTTTATGCAGCCCACGTGGACAGCATGGGTTTTACATTCATAAATGGTTGAAAAAATCAAAAGGAGAATAATATGTCATGACACGTGCAACATGAAATTTCTTGTCTGCAAATGACGTGTTACTGTCACACAGCCATGCTCGTTCATTCATGGGTTGTCCATGGCTCTTTTTGTGCTACAGGGAAAGAGTGGAGAAGTTTCAACTTGCTCCACCTCCCACCCCACAAGCCAAAAATAATTACTATTTGGCCTTTTACAGGGGGAAAAAAATGCAGGCCCCAGGCCTAGAACAATTCCTCTCAACTTCTTTTAATGTCAGATACATTAATATTTAACCCTCACAAGTTTCTTTTTGAAAAGAAAGTCTAGTCTATGTATAACTCTAAGAACAACCACTAGATCATATCCTAGCATAGAGAGGCTCACGGCAGAAGCAGAACACCCTGGAAGAGACACAGACACAAAGGCCACACTACCTGGGCTCAGACGGGCTCCGCCACCCACCAGCCGTGCAACCCTCAGCAAAATGCTTAACTTCTCTGTGCATCAGTCTCCCATCTATAAAATGAGGCTAATGATGGTACCCATCACTTATGGCTATTATGAGCATTAGATAAATTAACATGTAACCTGGTATGAAGTAGCTGTTATAAACAAACATTTTTTACTGCATTTTTATGTCAAGAAAATGGAGATACTTAGAAATTAGCTAAGCTCATAAGTAAACCTCATCATGTTTCTAAATATGGGAAAAAATATAATCAAGAAGTAAAACGTGAACATGTCCACTTTTGTCAGTATGCACTCTAAGCCAATAACATGCATTAATATCTACTCTAATTGCTTTTTGATTGGAAGATGTAACTATTTGTCTCCCAAACCAGTGGTATAATTTTGCAATCAATGGTCCTGTTTCAGATAATAAACAAATTGTATTCTGAATGGTTGAGTTAATCCTGATACAAAATCTAACTACTTAACAACTGCTAATCTGGGGATATCAAATTGGTATAAAGGGAAGGAACAATTTGGGGAATGCACGGTTACAAGCTTAGTTTGTTTTGTTAAGGTTGTGATCAGTTCTGAGAAAGAGAGCCAATAGAAAACAGTGCCTCACAGTTAGAGAAACACTTCCTGAACACCAAGCCAGGAATCAAAACTGAGGATGAGAAAATCTAACAGCTTTTTAATCATTGCAGGTCATTGTAGCAAATGGGTAATTAGTATGTCTGATGTTTACATTAATTTATGTGAAATCTTTAAATAGACTATGTTTTGTAGAAAGTGAAATCTTTATAGGGTAGTCTTCTATCTGCTATAAAACATAATATCTTGAAAACTCTACACTAATACAGAACTCTACACGGGACTGCAACACCTGGTGGTCAAATGTTTAAAAAATGTGATCATTCCCATGAATGCATTTCCACTACAGGTGTTTCTGGAGGAGGTTCAATGGCCTTTTGTCATGTACAATAGTAACGTCCATTGAGAAAGATATTGGCGAAGTGCAATGCTGAGGCTTTTTAATTCTATAACCTTATTCCTTCAACTTTCAATTGGCATTTATTTAACTCTTCCATTGTGGGAGGTGCAATGAAAATGCAAAAGAGAAATTAATTAATCCAGTCCAATTTGATTTATTTGGGACAATGACTAAATTCTGCATTAAAATGTAAGAAATCAAAATAAAAAAGAAATTTGGGGTTGCTTAAGATAAACTTAGATTATAAGTCTCCTATTGTTTACTTTTTAATGTTCTACACATTGCATGTCATGCCCCTTTACTAAATTAAATTTTATGCTTTAGAAATCTTTAATAATGACTTTTCCAAAACTTTCCAAGAACTTATTTCTTAAGTTTTATATTTCTTACAAAAAAACAAAACAAAAATAATGAAGAAAGAGGACTTCAAAATATTTTAATTTTTGTCTACTCACGTCTTGTCTGAAATTAGTTATGTATACATTTGAATATAAGAAAGTAAAGCTCTTATTTTGAAACTTATTGCCCTAAATGCTTAGTTTGCTACAATAAAATATGAATCTGAACATAAATGACACACTCAAAAAACAAAGCAACGAGAGCAAAAATTAAAAGTTAATTTGGTTATTTATAAAGTCTTTATGCTTGGGTTGCTTTATTTTTCTAGACTTAATAAAAATGCAGAATTACTTAATATTTACAAACATGTTTAAATTTTGTTATATTAATAGACCTATTTTCTATAGATAACATATTCTTAACAAGTAGATTCTCTTTGAAGTTATTCTATTTTGTTCTTATTTCAACAGACTGGTCAATTTTAATTTAACACCTCCTCTGAATTTGGGGAACTATTTAGACTTTAAGAACTACAGGTGAACAAAAAATAAATACAATGGATGCCCTTCCATTCAATTGTTTTCAATAAAAGTGATGCAATTGCAAAAAAAAATGGTTTAACGCATTTACCTCCCTGTTAAACCACACATAAGGCTGAAAGAACATTTTTATATTATGCTGATACTATAATAAATGGGCTGATGTAATGCTATTGGCTGCAACTCACAGCATTTTCTACATTAAAGTTAGTAACTTGATGCTTATCCTTACATTCTTTTTGTGAATTAAAATTAGAATAATGCCATTAGTCCCTAAAATTAACATGCTATAGTTAGCAATAATGTAACAGAATCTCAATTATGTTTCTTTGAGATCAACAATAGATTCCCATGAACTATTTTCTGTATCTTTCTCTTTGAAAGGAAAATACAGTTTCTCACTATGCAGAAGGATTAGATTCTTTCAGCATCCATGACACT